GGTTTTGAGGAACAAGGAGGTACCCCTAGTATTGGTTCAGTGGCAGCATCGGAAGGGATCAGAGATGACCTGGGAGCCGGAACGTGAGATGCGTGAGCAGCATCCGTAGCTATTTTCCTAGCGGGACTTCGAGGGCAAAGTCTTGCTCTAGTGGGGGAGAATTGTAACAGCCCAGATCCCCAGGTATCTTTACTTCCATATTTTTGGTATTCTGTGAGGGGACTCGGCGAGTTGGAGGTCGAACTCGCTGAGTCGTGTCGCGGTTTTGGACGAAGGTTCGCGTCCGGACTCGGCGAGTCCAAGGGATGGACTCGGCGAGTCCGCGCTGTTTAATGAAACCCTAATTTCCCGGTCCTAAGCCCTATTTAAAGGACCTTATGGCCTTCATTTGCGGCCACCTTGAGCCCTGAGCGCACCCAAACGGCTGAGAGACCTTGTGAGTGAGATAAAGGCCATTTGTTCATCATTTTGTGTGATTTCTTGCAAGAAGGAAGGAGAAGATCAAGCTTGAAGAGTTGGGGAGCTTGGATCTGCTTCTATTTCATCAAGGGAACCTTCTTGAGGTAACTTTCAGAGCTAAACTTCGTATTTTGGTTGATGTGTCAAATCTAGGGTTTCTTCTTGCCTTATTTGGCTTGATTTGGAAGTATGAAAGGTCCCATGGAGGTATGGAACCTAGATCTGGACCTTAGCAGGTCCAGAAGGCCCCAAATGACAAGCTTTATGTCCATTCTTTTGAGTTGGAAACTAGGGTTGTCATATTAGAGGTTATTTCTCTAAAATGAGCCTTGTATGCGTTGCATGGCGACCAAGACTGAGACTTTACGTGACAAATGAGCTTGGGAAGGCCAGATCTATGTGTGTATGGAACGGATCTGACCGCAAAAGCCAGTTTTAGCTGATGCATGGCATGGACTCGCCGAGTCTGAAGAACAGACTCGACGAGTCGCTTGAAGATTGTCCTTGTGACCATCCAGTGTGTAGTCCTGCCGAGTTATGGGTGACTCAGTGAGTCACGAAGAGTTAGAAAGGTTTTGATAGGTGGACCGAGTCGAGTTGGGACTCGCCGAGTTGTCCCTGCGACTCGGCGAGTTGAGTCGCGGTGGCCCCGTGATTCATGCCCAGGTGGAACTCGTCGAGTCAGGGAAGTACTCACCGAGTCAAAGGGAAAATCCTTGCGAGTTGGAGAAAACGCGTAGACTCGCCGAGTCTCTATAGTGCACTCGCCGAGTCTGGTTAATTTGACCAAAGTCTGTTGACCAAGTCGACCAGTGTTGACTTGATAAGAATGGTCAACCCTAGTGGTACAAGTAATAATTATAGATTCATGATGTCATAGGAGGATTACAGCTCGGGGGTTCGAGCACGAGTGATTTCCAGGGTTCACAAATTAGCGAGACATACGAGGTGAGTCTTCTCACTATACTGTACCCGGAAGGGTTTAACTGTGTGAACGGAAGGTCGAATATGATATGAGATATATACCTTATGTGTAATAGGTTATTCGTTATATGTGCCATGTATGATATGCTTGATTTGGGCCGGAAGGCAACATGTTATGTGCCGGAAGGCATGGTCATATGGACCGTAAGGTTGACGTGGTTAGGACCAGAAGGTTTACCCAGTCGGGACGGAAGTCCCCTGAGACACATGGACCGGAAGGTCAGGGCCTGGAAAGGTGTATGTGCGTAGTTTGTATTTTGGGGAACTCACTAAGCATTTATGCTTACAATTGTTGTGTTATGTGTTTCAGGTACTAGCGAGGACCGTGGGAAGGCGCCGGCGTGATCGTACACACACTCGGGGAAACCGTTTTTGTGATCTTTGTTATGTAATTGGTCGTGACTAAATTGTTACATTGGAACCTAAATTTTACTACTCGATGTTTTAATGATTGTAAAAATTTAAAAAAATTGGTTTTGAAATTTATGACGTTACATAAATCTTAATTGAGTATTTTCCTTTCTAAGCCTTGGACTCGGCGAGTCATAGGTCCGACTCGCTGAGTAGGGACGGGAACTGGGACACGTTTAAGTTGGCGACTCAGCGAGTCCATATCCTGGGCTCGGCGAGTCACCGCTATTGGATGAAACCCTAAGTTTCAGGGGTTTGCACCCTATTTAATCCCCCTTTCCGCCCCCAAGCCAGCCCCCATTCACCCTAAGAGCCATATACCTTGTTCTAAGCCTTGTTTTGTGGATTTGAAGCAATTTGGTGTGTCCTCTTGAAGATTGGAGTGAGTAGGGAAGGAGATCAAGAAGAAGAAGAGGAGGTCAAGCACTTGTGAGCAATTTCAGAGTGATATCCAAGGTATGGCTCGTTTTCCCTCTTGTCTCCATGCTTATAGCCCCATTAAAGTCCTTCGTGACTCATTTCAAAGCTTGTATGTGAATCATATTTCGAAATGAGTTGATTGGCCTCTAGATCTAAGCATGGTTGAGCTCTAGGAGCTCAGATCTACTACCTTTATGAACCTATATTGCATATAAATCTTAGATCATCTCTTTTGGTGCATTTTGAACCCTAAAAACCCCATAGATGGATATTTACACGTAAAGTTGGAAACTTTATGTGTTATTCATGCTCTAGGAGCCCATATCTACGAATGGCATGGACTGGATTCGAGCAAAATCGCATTTGTGGCTCTTGCATGGAGCGGACTCGGCGAGTCGCTCATCTGACTCGGCGAGTCTAGTCGCGAGTCTCCGAGTCTGTCCCCTTTTAGCTTTGTCGAGTTGTGTGGTGAGTCCAGGATGGACTCGGTGAGTTGGAAGCCAAAAGTCACCCATAGTGGAACTCGGCGAGTCGATGCCCAGACTCGGCGAGTTCAAGGCAATCTCCTTAGATCAAGATCAGACTCGGCGAGTTGTTCATACAACTCGGCGAGTTGTTCATACAACTCGGCGAGTCACAGTATAACTTGTTCATCGGATGAAGATGAACTCGGCGAGTTGTTCATACAACTCGGCGAGTAGGATGAAGGACTTGAACATCAGTTTGGAAGGAGAACTCATCGAGTCGACGCCTAACTCGATGAGTAGAAACAGAATTCAGGACAGTCGTTGGGTCAGGGACTTGGCGAGTTGGCGGTGCAACTCGGCGAGTCGGGTCAACTGGAAGTTGACTCTGACTTTGACTTAGGGCATGATCAGGGGTAAAATGGTCATTTTACCCAAAGAGCGGTTAGCAGTTTTTGACTAAGTGTTTGGTGGGAATTACATCCGGAGGATTTACGGAGCAGCAGCGGCAGCAGTCAGACTATTCCCACACAGATCAGCAGCTACGAGGTGAGTTACCTTCCAATAGCGGTGGGTCTAAGGCCACAATACCGGCCCACCAGTAGGAGATGTATGATTAGGTGATTGTCTCTATGATATTCATCTAGGGTTGCTACTACTTGTGTTATGTTTATGTGTTTGTATGTTATGATACTATGTGATAGTAGGGGAGATAGTCCCCAGGTTACCGGTCGATAAGGCCGAAGGGGCAGTCATGCCCGGCCATGCTAGATAGACTATGTGGTATATGTGTTATGTGGTAGTAGCAGGGGGTGAAATAGTTCCCGGTACCCAGTCGAGAGGACCGAAGGGGGGGGGGGCAGCACCCAGATATGCTAGGCAATATCCGGTCGAGAGGACCGAAGGGGAGACCAGCACCCAGATATGCTAGGTAGTATCCGGTCGAGAGGACCGAAGGGGTAGGTCGGGCACCCAGATATGCCTGACAATTTATGTATGCTATGTGATTGTATGGTTTGTGGTACAATGGGGGAACTCACTAAGCTTTGTGCTTACAGTTTACAGTTTTGGTTTTAGGTACCTCTTCATCGAAGGGGAAGGAGCTAGCTCGGTAGCGGCACATGATGCACACACACGGGTTTCCGCATTTATTAGATTTCTCTGGGATTTATACTCTAATGTTTCGATTGGTTGTATGACTTGACTATTGAACATGGTTATTGTTGTGATATAGTTTGTTCAAACAATGTTTTTATTTATTAACATTTTCTAAAGTAATGTTTTAAAAACAAAATTTTTGGTCGTAAAAATTGGGTCGTTACAGCTTCATTGAAAATTCTTGTATCATGTGCAGTCCCCTCCCAACCGGCCCAAAGAAATGTAAAGCACATGTTAAAATCACAAACAACCATTATATTTTGTGTTGCATATCCCTTTTGATGAATGTACTTCATTTCATCTTTTTGTGGAACCGATGCCGTAACGTGTGTCCGATCTATAGCAGCAATGCAATCCTTCAAATTCAAAAATATATCATAAATAAATTATTTGTTAAAGTTTGACTACCAATAATATAAACATTGGATAATACCTTGAACATTGGATAATATTGATACTTATTTAATATATATTCGGGAACATCATCATTATAGTTTGCATCTGGCTTGATGATGTTGGCACTCAGTTTTAGCACGCCTTCCAAAACTGTATGGAAATGCCTATTAATCGTTTCCCCCGAATGATTAAAAAATTCTTACACAAATCTATTGCTACACCCATGAGCCAAAGTCATCAAGAATATTCCTACAAACTCCTCAATAGATACATTTTGTGTTTGTTGTAGCCCGTAATTTGTAGCAAGATCTATGCATAACTGTCTAAAAACAAGTACGTTGAGTCTAAACATCTCATAATAACGTCTAGGATGGCCATTTAGTACTTCAATAATAAACATGTGCCCTGTGTGGTCTAAAGTGTGACACGGCGTACGTAAGTTACGAGTGAGTATTATCCCTTTCAAAGTTAATCCACATAACATTTCAAATTCTCTATGCTCTTCCACCCAACATTCTTCATTATCATTGGATGAATTAGAATCATCACTATCTATCCTACATAATACAAATAAAAAGATGTCAACCATTAACACATAATATAAAATGTCGATTACATAATGACAAAAAATAACACATAATATAAAATATCAAATACATAATGTCAAAGAACAACACATAATGTCAAAACATAAAACATAATGTCAAAGCATAACACATATTGTCAAAGGATAAAACATAAATGTCAAAGTATAACACATTTTGCTAAATCATTATTTCATATGTAACTTAAGAAACTCCATCTTGGCTTCGTTGGTCGTTGGAAACATAAAAGCTTCATGATTTTGCTTTTTGGTGAAGACAAGCAATGCTTGTGAAAATTTATTGGATCCTTAACGAAAATCGGGAAACTTGATGACAATGGCCATGCAATCTGCTATTATTGGGGAAGGATTATTTTGTGGATAAGTTTGTGTGCTTTTTGATGATATGACATCCAATAAAGCATCAACTTTTTCTTCATAAATTGAACTTTTACTCTTGGTTGGACGGTTGTTGGAAACAGACTTAGACCTCTTCCTTTTACTTGAACTACTTTCATGGAGACTAGTAAAAAGAGGCTCATCATCATCTAAATTGATTTCATCACTATCTCCTTCGCCCTCCATATTTTCTTCTTTTGGATTGCTATTGTTTTGAAATTGTAATGGAGTCATAATCTGATCTCCAGTGGCAACAGAATCCCGAAACAAAGTAGCATATTTCTCATCAAATATGCTCAAATTTGTGTTCCTAAATTTGGCATAATCTTTGTTCTCCTGCAAGACAAAAGATATTGTAAATCAAATATGTTCAATCTATATGCAATCATAACTTAAAATAATTACAAAGAATAATAATCATACCTTTATTTTATCCTCCCACCACTCAGGCGACGTATCTACTAAACTTCTCGTCCCATCGAGTCCGGTTTCAAGCCTCATTAAGCGGTTATAAAGCTTCCATTCTTTTTTCATGTTGTCCTATTTGTTTGTTTGTTGTTTTTTTCAAGTATGTAACATGTTTTCTCATTAATGCCTTTTTGTATATTTTCCTACCCAACTTTATCAATGGAGGTAGCGGGTTTATGGCCTTTTTTTGTTCAATCAAGCACAAATCAACAAACACCATGAAGCTACGATTATCCTACCCAATTTTTGGTTTTTTCATTTTTAAAGATGTTTCACAATCAACAATTGTAGTGTTAATGTTTTCATCCATTATCTGTGAATTACATATAGTATCAACATTTAAACAACAAACCAATTTCATTAACCTTCCTAAATGATTTCATTAATTTATCAAAATTCCAATCAAAACAGAAAAAATAGAATATCATAGAATATCAATTTCGGAAATAGGTTACTTGTTAACACAAATATCATCCCTGAACAAAAATTTTCATCAGCTTCATATTTGATCAACCAATTTCATCAATTTCACTAATTATTAATCCATATTTCATCAAGTTCACTAGTTATTAATCAATATTTCATCAATTTCACAAAGGTATGTTAATCACATAATATCACAGAAAATCAATTTCAGAATTGTGAGGAACAAAAAGCTTCATAATCAATTTTAGATGCGAGAGAGAAGAACAGTTCTAGGAAAATCGAAAAACTAAATTTCTTTCCTATTGAAAATCGGAAATCGACAGAAAGATATTGTAAATCGGAGTTTAATCGGAAGTCGACAGAAAATTGGAGGAAATCGACTGGAAAAGTACCTGATCGGAGATGGAGAAAGAAGATGTTGGTGTTGCAGGTCGCCGGTTTGGAAGTCGTCGGTGTTGCAGGAACGATCAAACGAGTGAGAGAGAAGAAAATGGGTGAGCGGTGAGAACGAGAGAGTATGAGGGAATCTGTGAATTTGGGGTAGAGGGGGTATAAAAGTAATTTAATGTTTTTAACTGTTGAAAAGTTGGAAATGTCAGAATTACGTGACTTTTTAATAAGACTCCATTTACTCAATTGGAAAAGTCATTTACAAAAGTCCTTTTCATTTTACCAAACATCTTTTTGACTTTTTTCTAAAATATAAAAGTCAAAAGTCATTTTAAAAGCTAAGACAAACACCTTCTTATTATGTCCATTATAATATACAAATATATGCAATGTTCTATTTTTTTTTGTTCCAACAGGTTTCTTCATGTTTCTTTCATTAAATGGTACTTAAGCTCTTCCAAATAGTACTTGATTTGGTCGTCATGGTTCTTACCTAGCAGCCTCGAGACGTCACATGTTTGCTTGGTGTAGTCTTTATTTGTCGAATTGCCTTTTTGAGATAGGCAATCTCTTTTGTGAATTGTTTGTCAAGTTTCTCCTACTCATGAACTTGATTTTTCTCAAATTTGAAGACTGACGGCATAAATTTTGTAAAGCATCACCTAGGTTCGAAATAGTAATAAACTATGTTTTGGATGCTTTAACATCTTGGACTATTGATAAGTCCAGTAGAAGATCCGCTCGTTGTGCAGAATAAAATTATTTAGTTAACCTTTAGTATTCATGTGTTATTGATAATATTTATGTCTTTTATATTAACTAAAAGATAATTATTATTACATTTAGATATTTAGTTAATATAACATTATAATTAATTTGAACAATAAATAATATAACACTTATTAAAATGGAGTCATTTAATGATATGCATGTATATGAAATTAGTTATATTTCTCATCTATTTTAATTAGCTAATGTTATGATTTATTAACTTTTAAAACATTGACGACAAATACTTTAATCAAAATGATTATTTAAGTTATCAATCGTTGTTTGTGATGTAAGAATTTAATTTATAATTTTATGTTATTTTAACTATTATTATTATTAAAAATTAATCTAAAAACAACTAAACTGGATTTCATTTATTATAAAAAATAATTTTTGGAGATGTTTTAGTTAATTTTACTTTTAGATTATGTTCTTGTACGTTTACTGTATTTAATATTTTCTTTTAACTTTTGTAAAAAATATACAATGAGTTTTTTTTTTAACTTTATTTGATATATTACTTTATGTTAAAATATTAAAAAAATATATATTTAAAATGGTTATGTTATTGACATTAACTTTGTCATAATATATTGAAAAATATTATTCATCGACATCAAACCACCTTCTTCATTAATAAAATTAAATATAATTATTTGTTTAATATTATTTTTAACAATTGTTATGTTTGATTAATTTAAAAGTTTACTTATGCGATTATTTTCTAATTTCAGTAATGATGTTCATTTAAAATATAATTTATTTGTTGTTAAAGTTATGTAATTTATAAATTGATGTTATTCTAATTTAAAATTATTGTTCTTTAGTTTTAAACAACTTATTATTATTAATAAGTTAAAGAAGACTTTTAGGAAATACTTAATATTACTATTAAAATGTGAAACATACACTAAATAATAAACTAATAAAATAAACAATTTGCATTTCAAATGAGATTTGCATGGATAATATGACGTATCCATGATTTTTATAGTTTGATTTTATTATATATAATTATGGTTCGTTAATTTTAAAACCACTTGCTATTATTAATAAATGAAAGAAATTTTTTAAAAGACACATATTATTATAATCAAAATGTTAAACATATACTAAAATATAAAGTGATATGATAGACAATTTACATTTTAAAGAGAGTTACAGGGATACTATGGATAATATTGCATATCAATGATTTTTTAATTAATTATTACTTTGAAGCAACACAAACATACAAACATATATACAATATTTAGTTAAATATTATCTATATCACTTTCCATAACAGATGATCGATAACATGAATCTAATCAAATTTACATTAAAGTTTCAACAATAACATATAATGTTGTATTAAAAGAATACTTAAACCAATAAAAATATAAAAAAATAATTAGTAGATAACACACTTACAAATTAAAAACTTTAACATAATAACATGACTCGAAAAAAGGTATAAAACTCTCAAACTAACACAAAAACTTTAATCTTTTACATTAAAGCTTCAACAATAACATACAATGATTGTATTAAAAGAATACTTAAACCAATAAAAAAAAGAATTAGTATATAGGAAACTTACAAATTTAAAACTTTAACATAATAACATGGCTCGAAAAAAAGGTATAAAACCCTCAAACCAACACAAAACCTTTAAACTTGTTTTCTTTGTGAATTTTGTATGTGATTTGTATTTATGTGTCTACTAAAAGAGAATGGTTTTTTTATAGTAGACTATCCATTAATTGCTTATTAAACATATTATATAAGTTATAAAACCTTTCACGATGTGTGATTAATTACTTTGAAGGTGGAAATGTGTGGGGGTTTCAAATGCATAAGGTACTTGGAAATTTGTGTGGGGGTTTCAAATGCATGAGGTGATAGGAAAAATGCCTCATTTATAAGTATAGTATGATGAGGTCCATTGTTTCCTCCAATTACTTGACTTTGTTTATTGTTTATGCTTTGATGAATGTTTTTTGGATGCATAAGATGATTTGGTTGGTTGGTTTTCTTTTGACGTAGAGTAATACGAAGGTGTTAGTCGTGGCTTGGTTTCGATTTCATCAACATGTGTTGTTGTGGATCTACGGATGCGGACACGACGATTGGATAATACTTCCCTAATAAATTATCCTTAGTAGAGAACTAAGTTCTATTGATCGTGTGTTCTGCATAGTCTTTTTTATGTCTTTTTTGATGGGTTTCGAACCTCTTTAGATCAAACAAATGGAAGCATAAATGATAAACAGTTTCGATCTAAGCTTGAAATCTATATGATTTAAACTCACTAATCTGTGTAACTTAGTAGAACTCTTAAGTAAAAGATACATTTTATTTCTTAGTTGGCTTCTACTTTTGTCGAGCTAATGGAAGGAACTAAAGAACCCAAAAGATAGTTCATCTTCTGCGATCACACCCTAGATACAAACAAGAAGTAGATCCAAGTAATCCTTGAACTTCAGGAACAAAACATAATCGAAGTCTTGATTATTTTCTTTCACCATGTCGTGAGGATTAGATGGTCATAACGTGAGAATGACGATTCAGGATTCTTAGGGTTTTTGAGGATTCCGAACTTGGAGCCCCCTATTTATAGGGATGTGATTTGAAACCCTAGAGATAAATACTAAAAATAATAGTAATTATCTAAGTTATTCAAATCATTCTAGAATATTCCATATTCTATTTATTTACTATTGATTAATTAAACTATTCGTTAATTAACAAAACAACCCCCAAATAAATATATTTTTAGATCTGCTTCATTTTTGTTCCTGCGTGTAACCCAAAATAACAATGTTATTTATAGTAATATTATCATGCTTTGTTATGACTATGGAAACTAATCTCCATTAGCTCCCACTTGCACTTAGACATTAACAATTGACCGATCTAATACTTACTATAAACAACAATGAGTGTAGTCCAATGCAACTACCGTACTTATAACAACTTTTCTATAAACAACCCTAAGACTAATAAGTTCAACATCCTTTGATCTTTATGATATATTATTATGAACTAGAGACATTGATCAATGGTCGATCTCATGGTTCAAGATTATGTTTACCGATACTGACCTGTGGTGACCTTTCAGACTAACTCTTGAATCTATTTAACTTAGTCTCAGCTTGGCGAAGCATTTGTTGTCAACACCAAATCAACGAGGGGCCTATAGATATCTACTTCTCCATGTAGGACCTGGTTTCTGGTACGTATTTAATTGAAGTATTTTTGTATTCTACTCTAGGAATCGGCGAATTGGAGGCCCAACTCGTCAAGTAGACTCGACATTATGTGGGGTATGAACTCACCTGCAGTGAGTGGAGAGGATGGAAGTGTCGGGTAGGTTGCTAGGTGTCAAGTGAGGACTTGAACACACCCACGGATCCTATGTAACATGTAGTGATACATAATGGTATCTAATTAGTTATTTAATCACTAATTAAGTAAGTAAAGACACTTTAATGCATGAAAACACTTTGTTTCAAGTGCGAGGAGTGTTAGGGGTTTCATCTAAGGAGAGTATGGCCTCACTTTGGAGTTTACTCTTCAAATGGTAGCCCTTAGGGGTGTTTACGGTTTTTGAACCATTTCCCCCATGATTTTACGGCTGTAAACTCATGGGATTGGTGTGTTTGTGTGCTTCAAGGTCTTATGCTCCACAAAGAAGGGTC